GCAAAATGTGGCTCCTCATTGGGTGGAAGGACCATGGTTGGCCAAGAGGTGGTGGGATGTGTCTCATGGAGGTCAACCTCAATGGTGGCTCCTGGTTGGCTGCAGAAGGTGGGGTTGGCCAAGAGGTGGTGGAACGTGGCTCCTGGTTGGCTGCAGAACATTGGCCAAGAGGTGGTGGATCATGTCTTATGGAGGACAACCTCAGTGGTGGCTCCTCATTGACTGCAGAACATTGGTTGGGCCAAGAGGTGGTGGGACATGTCTTATGGAGGACAACCTCAGTGGTGGCTCCTCATTGACTGCAGAACATTGGTTGGGCCAAGAGGTGGTGGGACATGTCTCATGGAGGACTACCATGATGGTGGCTCCTCATTGGCTGCAGAAGGTGGTGTTGGCCAAGAGGTGGTGGGACGTGTCTCATGGAGGTCAACCTCGATGGTGGTTCCTCATTGGCTGCAGAAGGTGGGGTGGACCGAGAGGTGGTGGGACGTGTCTCATGGAGGACTACCATGATGGTGGCTCCTCATTGGCTGCAGAACGTGGGGTTGGCCAAGAGATGGCGGGACGTGGCTCCTGGTTGGCTGCAGAACGTTGGCCAAGAGGTGGTGGGACGTATCTTATGGAGGTCAACCTCGATGGTGGCTCCTCATTGGCTGCAGAACACGGGGTGGACCAAGAGGTGGTGGGACGTGTCTCCTGGAGGTCTACCTCGATGGTGGCTCCTGGTCTCTCAACCTTTCTCCTTCCGTCCATCCTCATCTTCGTTCCCCGTCCCCTCCAGCCCCACGGATGTCCCCACGTCCCCCCCACCTCCCACCACGGCCCCACGTTGGGGTGACGTTGGGGACACGTTGACCCCACGGTGGTCATCGTGGCCGTCCCCACAAACCGTTTCTCTCAGTCCCTCCAGAAGGTACTGGAGATATTCCCACATCTCCTCCTCTTCCTCCACACCCCCTCCCTTTACTGGAGGCCTCCCAGTTCCGCCCAGTTCCTCCCAGTTCCCTCCCAGGCCAACCCCAGAAGAACCAGTAGAACCTCCCACTTCCCCTCGGGGGAACGGGTCCTTCCAGTCCCCTGGAAATCCCAGTTGAACCCGACTCCCCCGGCCCCAAGTCACTGGGTTGGACTGGGTTGAACTGGGTTGAACTGGGCTGACTCAACCCTTCCCAGTCCCGACTTGCCGCTTCGTTACCCAATGGGGTTGCGGAGCTCTTAACGAGCTCCGGTGTTAATTAAGCTCCCGGGCGACTCGTCAAGGTCCTAATTAAGCGGCTCTCGTTAACCCGGGCTGTCCCCGGCGCTCCCATGATGCTTTGGTCCCGTATACTGGAGGGGCCCAAACTGGTCCCAGTTCTCCCTCCCCACCACCACTGTGGTGGTTGCCCCAATGCCCCCCCCATCCCGACATTCCCAGTTGCCCCCAGTTCCTCCCAGTTGCCCCAATGCCCCCCCCATCCCGACATTCCCAGTTGCCCCCAGTTCCTCCCAGTTGCCCCAATGCCCCCCCCATCCCGACATTCCCAGTTGCCCCCAGTTCCTCCCAGTTGCCCCAATGCCCCCCCCATCCCGACATTCCCAGTTGCCCCCAGTTCCTCCCAGTTGCCCCAATGCCCCCCCCATCCCGACATTCCCAGTTGCCCCCAGTTCCTCCCAGTTGCCCCAATGCCCCCCCCATCCCGACATTCCCAGTTGCCCCCAGTTCCTCCCAGTTGCCCCAATGCCCCCCCCATCCCGACATTCCCAGTTGCCCCCAGTTCCTCCCAGTTGCCCCAATGCCCCCCCCATCCCGACATTCCCAGTTGCCCCCAGTTCCTCCCAGTTGCCCCAATGCCCCCCCCATCCCGACATTCCCAGTTGCCCCCAGTTCCTCCCAGTTGCCCCAATGCCCCCCCCATCCCGACATTCCCAGTTGCCCCCAGTTCCTCCCAGTTGCCCCAATGCCCCCCCCATCCCGACATTCCCAGTTGCCCCCAGTTCCTCCCAGTTGCCCCAATGCCCCCCCCATCCCGACATTCCCAGTTGCCCCCAGTTCCTCCCAGTTGCCCCAATGCCCCCCCCATCCCGACATTCCCAGTTGCCCCCAGTTCCTCCCAGTTGCCCCAATGCCCCCCCCATCCCGACATTCCCAGTTGCCCCCAGTTCCTCCCAGTTGCCCCAATGCCCCCCCCATCCCGACATTCCCAGTTGCCCCCAGTTCCTCCCAGTTGCCCCCAGTTCTCTGGGGCCCGGGGTGGGGTGGGGCTATAGGGGGGTATTTAGGGGCACTGGGGTGTGGGGGACCCTATAGGGGTCCTATAGGGTCCCCACAGCCCCTATAGCTCCCTCTGGCCCTATAGGGTATCCTCCCAGCCCCTATATATCCCTCTCACCCTATAGGGTCCCCACAGCCCCTATAGATCCCTCTCACCCTATAGGGTCTCCTCCCAGCCCCTATAGCTCCCTCTCACCCTATAGGGTCCCCACAGCCCCTATAGATCCCTCTGGCCCTATAGGGTCTCCTCCCAGCCCCTATAGCTCCCTCTCACCCTATAGGGTATCCTCCCAGCCCCTATAGCTCCCTCTCACCCTATAGGGTCTCCTCCCAGCCCCTATAGCTCCCTCTCACCCTATAGGGTCCCCACAGCCCCTATAGATCCCTCTGGCCCTACAGGGTCTCCTCTCAGCCCCTATATATCTCTCTGACCCTATACAGTCCCCACAGCCCCTATATCTCCCTCTGGCCCTATAGGGTCTCCTCCCAGCCCCTATATTGCTCTGGGGTGGTGGCACGTGGTTATGGGGTCTCTGAGGTCACAAAGTCATGGCCATGGTGTCACAGAGGTCCCTACGTCACTTCCATAGTGTCCCCAAGAACTTCAACCGGTGCCCTCAAGGTCTCATGTCATGGTCACGGGAACCGCAAATTGCTCTGGGGTGGTGGCACGTGGTTATGGGGTCTCTGAGGTCACAAAGTCATGGCCATGGTGTCACAGAGGTCCCTACGTCACTTCCATAGTGTCCCCAAGAACTTCAACCGGTG